CACTAGATGCAGTGTATAAAGAGTTGCTATGACGACACCTATAGATGCAGTGTATAAAGAGTTGCTATGACGACACCTATAGATGCAGTGTATAAAGAGTTGCTATGACGACACCTATAGATGCAGTGTATTGAGGGTTGCCCAAATAACAATGTTTGGTTGATTGATTCGCTGTTAAATAAAAAAAATAAAATATTATTAATCATTATAATGTTACCATACGATTGCATTTTTACGTTTTTTTGTCATTTTTCCCATTTTTGATGCAATGTTAATTAAAACTTGATAAGCAGTTCTGCTACATCCGTTTTGGTATATGAAGTTTTTCTCTACAGATGGTTTTTAGAAGACAGATATAAATAACTAGTTAATGTATTTACTTTGTTCATGAATATTTATGTTCATCTGGTTATGATTATTCATATTCACTGGGTCATAAATATTTGACCTTTTCAGGAATGTTTGTATAGTCCAGGTAATGAATAATCCTATTCACCTGGTCAGAAGCCTTTCATTAAATCTAATTAGGTAAAGCCAGAAGGAATGACCTGTGATGACCTTTGTAGAGAATCGCTTCAGATCTCATTAGAGATGTGATGAAGGTCTCGTCAGGTTTTGTAGGATTGCTTTTGATGCAAACTTATGCAAATTAGAATGAGTATATAGGGTGAATGTCCCTGAATGTCGGAAGTGTGTACATGTTTTTGGATTGCCTGTTTGAACGTGTGGTAATTATATATTATATATGATAAAATCACTGCTTGGGACTGCAACAGTAAAAACATGTGTTGATGAGTAAGTTATGAAACTTGGACGTAGGGACAATGTTGACACGTATTGCAGACAGTACATGATATTTGAACATATTACAATCGTTGATGTTGAGAGAGATGTCGTACGAAAAATCCAATTACGTGGAATGTCCTATGGAATAGCAATAATAAATAACTTTGTTTGTGCCACAGTGATAAGTTGGAGGAATGTGTTTTAAATGTTGTAAAGTGTCAAAGGTATGTTAACAAAACAGAAATGGACTAGGTGTACTGGTACATAGTTGGTTGCAATAAGTGATGGAAACTGCTCTTCCAATGTTGTTTTAGTCGGTGTAGGGTCCCAAGCAGTGTAAACAAGGTTGTGTGTCTCATATTTACCATGTGATAAATAATATCAAACACTTGTTAATGCTAGGTCATGATGTGGTTTATCGATTTAGTAACATCATCATGATAATATTTATGACAATTGTACGTACTAGTTAAGACTTTTTTGTATATTATATTTGATTGAGAGGAATATTGTTGTTTATTTAGCTGTCTCATTAATTCAAATGTTTTTATTTCATTTATTTGAAATCCAACATTTAAAAGGAATTTATCATCAGAACAATTGATCATTTTCAGGAACTTCCAGTAAATCGTGTTCAGGGCATTAGCAGTCGTATCTCAGCTTTTACTCCTAGACCACCTAACAATTCTGTTGATCAATCGGAACAAATTTGTTTCCCCCCAGAACAAACTTAACAATATCGAAAAGGATGATCTCAATTCATTATTTATAACTTTTTTAACCCCCTCCAATGAAAGTATAATTAGATTTAGTTTCATTTTGTTCTTTCAGGAATTTTTGGTTAAATTGTCAGTCGACCATCACTGATAATACTCATTCAAATGCAATACATTGAGTTTTGTGTATTTTTATCATATATGTAACTTTTACTATCTAGTAGGTTTCCTGCCCTGCTGTAATAAGTGGAGATAAGGTAACCTCCGTATTATTCATAAATAGGGAGCGTTACTTCCCGTTTTGTTTTCATCAGTAGAGCGGGTTGCCTCCCTTTGGTATTTCCATTATTGGAGAACACCAGAGGTTGTTCAATGATGCTTATTGATTTATTTATTGAGCCTGACATCCCTTTATTTCTAGCCTTTGTATTGACACATAGAGAAGTGGAAGAGTGCATTGATAGAAATCAGGGATGGCAGGATATTTTTTTTGTTTAGGTCAGTCAAGAGCTGATAAATTATCAGATTTCTTTTTTGTACAAGTGTATTTTACAGGGTATTAATTCATCAAGGTAACTGTTTCCAATTCTGATTCACTTAAAATAATTCAGGGAAATTAATACAAATCTAGTATTAGTATTTCAAATTGTCAGTTAATATTGAGATTTTCTGTAAACAATTCTGTCATTTGGCATAAACATTAGACTATATAAAAGTGTCTAATATGTAACATTGGTAAAAAAACACCTAAAATGGTAACTGATAAATGAACAAGAATCAGTATTTAAATAATAGATCCTCTGATTTGATAAAGCAACTGCATTGGTTCAATTCATAAAACGAGTTAACTTGGATCGAATACTTGATCCAGAATCAGTATTAAAGTGATAGATATTCAAATCTGATAAAACGACCTAATTGATTCGTTTGTTTAGTTAGAATCAGTATTACAATAATGTATGTTGATTTGTTCCTTTGAATATGTTTAAGTGAATGAGAGATGAACACAGAACCTGCTCATTTTGTAAGTTATCTATTTGACAATCTTTGTGTTTTCTTCGTGTAAAAAAATAACGTGCTGATAGTGCTACAATCTCAAGGATTAACCCTTTCACCCCTATGTAACTTTAGTAGACTCTATCAGGCATTTATATGGATGAGTCCATTATGGTCTACAGTGGTGAAAGGATTAATAGTCAAATTTATTAACGGGAATCTTTCTTAAATCGGATATGCAATGGATCACAATCATGACTAAAATGTTTGGCTTTTGGTCTTTCTGAAAACTTCCGTTATCGGAGAAAACAACATGGTTTAATTATAAGCATGAATGAGATTAGACTATCGTGAAAAGGGCACCTTTTGAAATCGATCAACTTCATGATGCTGAAGTGAAAATAATAACAAACCATGAAAGGCCAAGCATTACAGTAGAATCCTGCAAGTCCAGACATATTGAATAGTTTGGATTCACAAGATTCTGGATAAATTAAATTAAATCTTAATTGTTTCATTACCAGATTCCGGTTTTGCTTGGTTATTAGGTCTCATTGCATCACTGTTTGACAATTGTTCTTGAGACTGACACAATCAGGCAGCTGTTGATTTGATCCTGCTATTGGATATAGGATTAAATATTTGTTTAGTTGGTATTCAGAGATGGAGCTGATTCCTTGCCCGCTATAGTTACTTAATGAAGTAGTAGTTAGTTATCATAACGAATGTACATAAACGTGTTGTATTTATATTACATTGATGTATGTAAGATGTTAGGATACAAGCAGGGCAAAGCCAGTTTGTAAACCTGCAGTTATCTCCCCCTGTCTGATAAAACATTTTTAAGTTGATAGTTAACTCATTCACCCCTGAAGTCACATTTCAACTCTTTCAATTCAAAGGTTGGAGTAGTCCATTATGAGATTTCAGGGGTGAATGAGTTAACCTCAATTACAACTCTTTACTTGCCAAACAGAAATAGTCTCTTTGGTTAACTGGCGGGACATGTATTTGCTTTTAAAGCAGTGAAAATGGACGTTCAACTAATATTGCTGATTTAATTGTTATTTCTATAACTTCGCGTCTGTGTGGGTTAAGTGAAATTTTAACATCTTAAACATGGTTTATTCTGCTCTTAAGTAGATACTCGGGACATTGTACAATTGGCAAATAGATAGATCTTTTACTTTCGATCTAAATATTTCAAACGGAGATAAGTGTATGTGTATCTGTTCGATCTAAATGTTTTGAAGGGGGATAATTGCGTGTTTATTGACTTGACTGTCCGCTTCGATTGATGATTGATGTTCATTCTCTGAGCAATTCAGAGGCTAAAAATTAGACGTGTGTGCGTGCATGTACTTTTAGTTACAATGTGTTATTAGGGCCGATGTCAGACAATTACTACAACTATTCGTCAAGTTTCAACTTTGACCTCTTATCTGATCAATTTTGAGTTTGGCACGTCAGATTTGAAATTTGACTGTCAATGTTTTGAAGTTTTGACCCTTGACCTTATTGAGAACTTGAATTGACCTCTGACCTGGTCAAAGTCAATCTTCAAAAAGTTTTTAATTTTTCTGACTCATTAATATATTAAGGGTGTTGGCTATACAAAGTGTTTGTGTAACACCATAGAATTCA